GCCGGCGACTCCCGCAACCTTGGCAGAGTGACGCCATCTCACTGGAGAGAAGAGGAGGAAGAACGACCAGGATTGGGAGTCAAGAGACGACCGCTGCTGACAGACCCGCCGGGGGCGCACGACACCTGACCCCGGGCTGCACGCAGGTGATATCCTTCCTTCATTGTTACGTTCTTTTGGTTATCGCAAGGCATTTCTTATCGCACCCTCTTCCAGGCGCAAAGCGGATCGAGAGTTGGTACGGCATGACGAGGAAGGCCACTCTACGCCTCAAGGACGGCGAGAGCTTCGGATAGGCACCTCGAGGCCACGAGGCGGCCTGAAAAAGACTCCCGCGATCTCTCGAATTTCGCGCGCCAGGGCATGACGCGGTTCCCGTGATTAGCGGAACCGCGGAGCCACGCGCCAATCAGACGCGATAAGGCCCCTCGCGGGGATAACGAGCCCTGCGTGCGCCCGGAAGGATTAGAGCCCGGCATTTGAGCTGTAGCCCGCTTGGCGAGGGCACGCGAGAGGACGTAGGATGTCAACGAATCGAGAACCTTTCAAGGTTCGACTAGGACGAGCATCTGCGACGGAGTCACGGTGAGACAAGCGTCACCCCTGTAAAGTCGCCGGTTTCCGTGTCCGGGAGATGTAGCTTTATCGGATTTCTATCGGGCGTATAATAGAGAGTGCACGTGGCATTACCACGCATCAAAGTTTCGCGGGATTCGAGTACGCGTGTCGCCTCCCGAAACGGCCCTTATCGTCGGGATAATTTTAAGGCGTCCGCCAAGGCCACAGCCTCGTCATTCGTTGTTTCTTTTTATCGCGGATTATATGTTGCGTCGAAGTTCCGTAATATTGTCGCGTATCGTGTCATCTCGAGCGTCTGTAGCATAAGATTTGCATGTTTATTCGGTCCTCTGTGTCATAGCTATTAACGACAATCTATAATAGCAATTGATAATTGTGCGTATTCTGTCGTATCGAGATTGCGTAGTGTCGAGTTTGCACGTATTCGATCTTTCTCTGAATCTCAGCTGAGCGGCGCGAGGCCCCGCGAGCGCGTACGAGGTCACGCCGTGTCCACGCTACAATCGTTGCCGAATACCTTAGTATTTGCGAGGCGATGAAGTATGATTCGTATAATTCGCGAGAGTACTCCTGTGTGGCGTGAGCTCGTGTCGCGGGAATTTAACGAAGTTGATACGCCTAGCGTAAAACCTCGGGGCCTATGTAAATCAGTTATCGCGCTCAAGTAGAGCTTATCGTCTCGATTGTATCGCCAGATGTAAGTGTGAGTCGAAGATTCATTTAATATATTTGTTACTTTTGTTATTGTTAATTCGTGTGTACTTTATTCTCGCCCCTATTCGCTCCTCCAAACGATCTGCTATCCTCGACCGCAAACCGCCCTCTCTGCCATTTCCGAGACTGAGCTACCGGTTGAGAGCCTGTCGACATTCGCAGCTCATTAAAAATAGCATAAAGAAAATATCGCGTAATTTCTAGAAAGAGTGGCACGCTCGCTCGTGCCTGGCGCCCAACTATTGTTTTGTGATTATGTGTCGCCCTTAAGAGCGGCCGCGGGAAGACGCATTTCTGTCACGTTTCGTTTAACGCCCGTCATCGCCTACGAGAACCTTAGCTGTGAATGTGCGACGAAGTTGCGCCACGCTCGTGAGTGCGGTTGCAAATTTGGCGCCCAACGTGGGGGGCTCGAGTATAGAAACAGAATTTTTTTCTTTTCCCAGTAAATGAGAGCAAGGAATTTGGAGAGCGAATGCGGCGAATATTATGTTTTATAATTCTGTTTTTGCTATGTGTCATTTTTATGTGCCTTTCCTATTTTTGTGCCTGCTATGTTTTTGATGAAATATTTGAATTTTTATTTTATTATGATTTCTTTCTTCCACAGCATTAGTTGCGATGTGTAATTTGTGCACGTTATAGAGTGAGCTCTGGAATTTCGTGCTGTATCGCGCGTTCTTGATTTTCGCGAGTTTCGCTGGTGTTGGTTTCGGGCCGTTGTTACTGTGATTCGGGATCGCAGGGTTTTCCTATTGTTGTCGGCTCCGCGCCGTGTTGTTTGTGTCGGCACGTTATTATTCTCGTGGGCTCAAGGCCACTGTGCATTGTTGCTCTCTCTGAAGATTTGCTTCTTAAATATTATTGCCGTGTATCGGCCGTTTCTGGCAATCCGAGTATACTGGTCATTTCAAAATTAGGACTGAAGATCGACTACTATTGTTAAGCTTTCTTTTGCTATCGCGTGCGGGTATGAGGGCGTAAACGCCAGCAGATCAGTAGCGGGAAGGTCATAATTTTTTTCCTCTCCTCTCTCTGTGCGGTGTTTCGAGGAGAATTTTTTTTTTCTTTTCTTTTCCTTTTCTCTATTGGAGGTTTGTCGGTGCCCACTGCTTCTGCGCTTCCGTTTGTTATCGCTTGATTCCGAGCCCCGCTGGGATGTCTGAGGGACGTTGGCGACTTTCGTGGATTTACTGGGTGTCCAAGCAGCTAAGGGAGGAATTGTCGCGTAGAGGGCAGGCAATTGAGGGGGATGCCGCTGTACTGCACGACCGTTTGTTGCGTTACGACTTGAATGCGCTGGTGCCTGCAGAACTGTCCCAGCGTGCGGGGAAGGACGCCCCCAGGGTTTGCGACCACCGGCCGCGATGCCTGTGCAGCCGGACAGCCCGGGGCCTCTCCTGCATGATTATTCGGGGGATCGCGTGGACGCGCACCATACTCCTCCACCAGTGGCGTCTTCGCCTTCGCATCCCGCCGACACGTCGGGCGCGCGACAAGCTTCAATCTCGGACATCATTAACGCGCTGCGAAGATGGAATTTAAAATGCTCGGGCGCGCGAGGTAGTGAGGCCTTTCTGATTCGAATCGAGGAAAGGTGTGAGTTGTTTCCCGTTAGCGATGCCGATCTTTTCCGATGTTTACCATTTTTCCTGTCGGGTACCGCGCCGTTCTGGTATCGTTCTCGGCGTTCGGACTGGCAGACCTGGGATCGGTTCGTAGTTGCGTGGCGAAGACGCTTCGGCGATCTGAATTTTCAGTACGCGTTGCGGGACGAGATTTTGCGCCGCACGCAGGGGAATGATGAGCCGGTCTGATTATTTGATGTGCATGCAGGCCCTTTTCGGCCGTTTGAGTCCGCCGTGGGACTTGACGGAACAATTGGATTACGCGCATCGTCGTAATATGCTGCCGCGTTTGCAAATGAATCTCCGTAGGGACGAGTTCTCGAATTTCGTGACCCTTGAGTTATTAGCTTCGCGACTGGAGGTAAGCCACAAGGCTAATCTCACGCGTAGAGCCCCTCCCACACCGGAGAAATCTATATTCCCGGAATTAGCTTATCGCCCGCGTAAACCCTCGCGTAGCAGTCGGGTGGACGCGACCGAGTTTTCGGTCCCGGCGATTGCCGGAAGTAGGAGGGCTCCGAGCCACAATCGGGCTGAGGCGGCTGCCAGGGGAGCGGGAGCGCTCGCGACCTCGGCGACAACGCCCGTGCGGACGATTAAGTGCTGGAATTGTGAGAAAACTGGTCATATCGCACGAGAGTGTGGAGAGATGCGCCGTACGTACTGTTTTCGCTGCGGTGCGCCGAACGTGACCGTTAGGACGTGTCTCTGTTCGGGAAATGCGAAGGAGAGCCGCTAGTTCGGGTCGAGGCGACAAAATCAGGCGAGATCCGCGTGGAGATCGATAGGGAGACCTTTGAGTATCTCGCGACGATGTTCTACGTATGCGAGTTGCCTCCGCTACGGTACTTTCGTATTTTTATCGGGAGGTATTCTTTATCGGCTTTAGTGGACTCTGGGTCAAGCCGAACTCTTTTTGGGGACGAAGGTACGAAGTGGTACGACGATTGAACTTACCGATGGACCTCCCTAAAAATTTCCGTATCCGTACCGCAAACGGACAAGTGGCGAGAATTAGAGAGGAGGTTAGGTTACCGTTGCAATTGAGGGACGAATCTCGGGAGATTTCTGTTTGCTTGCTTCCGCCTGTTCCCTGCATCGTGGAGGTGAATTTCTTGCACACTTTTGGCGTCAGTTTAGATTTCGCGTCGTCGGAGTGGCATTTTACCGATCGCCCCCGAGAGCGATATACTTTCGAGGATATTATGGGAGAAGATTTAAGCGTTTGTAGTGGACTTCCGGAATTGAGCCGCGACCAAGAACAGCGCTTGGCGAGATTCCTTAAAGATAAAATACCGGAAGTGGTCGAGAATCCTGGCGTCACTTCGCTCATAGGAACATAGAATAGATGTAGGACAAAGCGCGCCTATTAAGCAGCATTACTATTTGGTCTCGCCGAAAGTCCAGGAGGCTATCCGCGAAGAGGTGGACCGAATGTTGGCGGCCGGAATAATAGAACCGTCGTTTAGCCAATGATCGAACTCTATAGTGATGGTTAAGAAGCCTAGTGGAAAGTATCGGTTTTGGTTGGATTTTCGTAAAGTCAATAGTATATCGAAGAAGAATGCGTACCCGCTACCTAATATGAACGGCATCTTAGATAAATTGCGGTCTGCGCGATATATTTCGACGATAGATCTTAGCCAGGCGTACTTTCAAATACCACTGGCGAGGGATAGTCGCGAAATTACTGCGTTCAGTGTTCCGGGCAGACTTTATCATTTCACACGAATGCCGTACGGATTGACGGGAGCGCCCGCGACTTTCTAACGACTTTTAGACAAATTAATCGGGCTGGAGATAGAATCACATGCGTTCGCGTACTTGGACGACATCGTTATCGTAACGTCTACTTTCGAAGGACATTTAGAATGGCTTGAGCGAGTTTTAAATAAGATCTTTGCTGCCGGTCTGACTGTGAATCCCGAGAAGTGTGAATTTTGTCGTTCACAAGTTCGTTATCTGAGATTTATAGTGCAAAGGGACGGCTTAACCGTCGATTCAGAAAAGGCCAGGCCAATTGTAGAATATCCCGTTTCACGCAATATCAAATAGTAGATTTTGCGTAGATTTTTGGGCATGTCGTCCTGGTACCGTCGCTTCATTCCGCGATTTGCAACGGTCAGCGAACCGCTCACGCGCTTATTACGGAAGAATCAGCGGTGGGAGTGGGGAGGCGATCAAGACCATGCTTTCGAGCGGATTCGTGCAAACTTAGTATCCGCTCCGACCTTATCATGCCCCGATTTTAGTGTTCCGTTCGATCTACAAACCGACGCCAGTTCCGTTGGAATCGGCCGTCGTTACGCAGATGCCGTTTTAACGCAGACCATCAAGGGCAGGGAAAATATTATCGCGTTCGTGAGTCGAGCGCTGTCGGACCCCGAAAAGAAATACTCGATTACTGAACAGGAGTGCTTGGCGGTTGTATGGGCGATACAGAGGTTTAGACCTTATTTAGAGGGCTATAGATTCACGGTGATAACCGATCATAGTAGTTTGCGTTGGCTCCACCATTTGAAAAATCCGACGAGCCGGTTGGCGCGTTGGGCATTGGAGTTGTTAGAGTATGATTACGAGATAGTACATCGTAAGGGTGCTTTGCACCACGTATCGGATGCCTTATCGTGTGCTTTTGAGAGAGACACTGGGGATGACGAGAGTGCTAGCGCTTTGTTGGTAGCTGCCGCGGATATCGAGGTTCCGGATGGTATAGGAGACCTTTGGTATCGTGAGCGTTTTCGCGAAGTTTCGGAGAAGCCTAAGTTAATTGGAAGGTGGTCGATGGTCAGCTTTATTATTTGAGACCGCGAGCCACAGCGTCGGACGTGATAGAGGATCTCGATCGTTGGAAGTTAGTGTTGCCACGTGAGAGAAGGTTGGAGGCTCTGAATGAGTCTCACGATGACCCTCAGGCGGGCCATCTAGGGATCAATAAATCGTATCGGCATCTAGCTGTCGCGTATTATTGGTCGAATATGTTTAGGGATGTGGCGAGGTATATCCGCGTGTGTGATATTTGTCAGCGTACGAAGATAGAAGGCGAGTCCTGTGGGACTCATGGATCGGCGGATCGCCGAAGCCTCGTGGACGGTCGTTGCCGCCGATATTATGGGACTCTTTTCGCGTAGTAAGTCAGGTTCTCGTAATCCAAGACTTGTTTATCAAGTGGATCGAATGTCGCGCCCTGAGGGCCGCGAACGGAAAATTGATAAGCGAGGCCCTGGAGGACCTCGTCATCTCGCGCTGGGGTACGCCTAGATTCTTGCTCATGGATAACAGCACAGAGTTCGTTAATAAAACATTACAAGCGTTTGCCGATGAGCGCGGCATCATTCTTACTACCATCCCGCCGTATCATCCACAGGCTAATCCCGTCGAAAGGCTAAATAGGATACTCAAAACCATGATTGTGGCCTTTCTCAGTCGTGATCACCGCGAGTGGGACGCTTATCTGAGGGATTTCCGGTTCGCATATAATACCGCTCACCATTCATCGGTCGGCACCTCACCCGCTTTTCTAAATTTAGGCCGCGAATTGGAGCCGGCACGGTCGTTGCGACGAGAGGGCCGAGGGGCGACCGGGGTGGAGCAGCGAGATCCCGCGAACTGGGAGGAGCATATGCGGAAGTTGCAATCGCTGCACCGTTGGGTTAGCGATAACCGATCAGGTCCATCAGCAGCAGGCCCGACACTATAATTTAGCTATCGCACCTTTAAAGTGGGGGATCTCGTTCTGAAGCGACAACACACACTATCGTCTGCGGTTCACAATGTCGCCGCCAAGTTATCGCCGAAATTCCAGGGACCATTTAAGGTTAGTGGGATTCTTTCTCCAGTAGTATATGAGTTGGCGAGTCTCGAAGGCGTTCGGGTGGGAAAGTTGCATGTAAAGGATCTCAAACCATACCTCATTCCCTAACATTGCTGATCCCTAGCGTCACCTTTACAGTTATCGCTGGATAGGGGGCGTGGAGGACATTCTAATTGTGCGCCACCCTGAGAGGATGGGAGAGAGAGGCGAAGCCTTCCGAAGGAGGTATGACGCCGTATTCCGGGGAATTCGACGGGACTACCCAACCTTCTGGCGAGAGGCGAGAGAGGTGGTCGAGGAGTACCGGCGCAGCGGCACCGGGGGGGCCATCGTAAGAGAATGGCCCGATACCCGGGACGCCGCTGTGCAAACGGGGGACGGACCACCCCGGACAAGAGATGCATCCCAGCAGACGGACCCCATGCCGCCACTACTCCCCCGCCTCGGAGAGCGGGGGGGGGGGGGGGGGGGAGGGAGAGAGAGTAAGGGGAACATCACCGCCTCGGCGCCGCGACGGAGGTCAGACTGGACCGGCAGGTTACACGGTGGGGCAACCGGCGCACCCGGGAGGAACTGCGGCCGGGACACCCACTGCTACTCGGACTGCCCCTATAGCCGTGACCACCCTTTTTGTTACGGCTGCGGGCGGGCGGGGACCACGAGGAAGAACTGCCCTCGCTGTAAAGACGAGTACGCTCAGAAGGGCCTGTACCGTCCCGTACAGACGTATCGAACACTATCATATCGCATATCCACAATAAAATATTATCGTCAAACCCCTAATTATTTCTGATCCCTGACTCACCGCTCTATTTTCTTTTTCCCTCTCCAGTAATGCCGATCCTGCCGCCTACTTAATGTTCCTGCGAGTGCATGCGGCTTTGCGCTTCGTTTGAGGTGAACGGTAGAGCTTATTCCTGCACTCACCATATTTCATTGTCTTCTTTTTGCTTTTCGACTTTGGGATGTATTGAGGTTTCTCGGTTTTATTTCGTTGGTGGTGGAGTTTGAAGACACGATATGGCTGTTGGCAAGGCGTTTGACGCGAAGTTACCTCCGTTTGTATAGTCACGATCCAGCGGTGCCGTTAAGGTTTTGGGGGGGGGGGGGCGAAGACTACCGGGCGAGCTGCTACCGGAAGCCGAATTGCGTACCGCTTAGCGAGCAGGATATTGCAGGAAATTTTTTTTCTCTTTCCTCCCTTCGTTCCCTGTTTTCACCATTTTCTTTTGTGTTTTCGTGCCGCATACTGAGTCGGGAGACTCGAACAATGATTTTGGGCGTGTGTTGGCGTGGCGGAGAGAGAGAGGAGCTCGAGAGCAGGTCGCGGTAGAACATATTCTCAAGATCGCGAGACCGCCAGCGACTGCCTCCCCTTATTGTTTGGAGTTAGTACTGTTTTGCGTAGGTCCTTTCCGTAGATTCCGAAGAGCCCTCACGTTGGAGGGCCGGAGGAGGAAAATCGTCAGTACCGTACCGTATTTAGGAGAAAGGCTACCCGGATGCTTGCCTGTGACGTGCCGCTGGATAACGATTGGGAAGAAACTGGCGGCTATCGACGTTCGTCGTAGCCGAGACCTCCTCGATCCTCTCGGGAAAGAGGGAGTTGTGACGTTTTCCGTCCGTCACAAGGGCCGCATGGCCTAACCGAAAAGTGCAGTATAGTGTCCTGAGTCCTCTCACATTTTAGGGGCGAACGCACCTGCGCTTTTTCCCCGCGACGACGTTTGCGTACCTTACGCGTTCCGCGTTGTCGTTTTCGTTTTCCCGTTTCTGTGTATTCCTGTACCGAGGCTTACAGAGGCACTCCCGCGACCTTGGCAGAGTGACGCCAATCTCACTGGAAAGAAGAGAAGGAAGAACGATCAGGATTGGGAGTCAAGAGACGACCGCTGCTGACAGATCCGCCGGGGGTGCACGACACCTGACCCCGGATGCACGCAGGTGATATCCTTCCTTCATTGTTACGCCCTTTTGGTTATCGCAAGGCATTTCTTATCACACCCTCTTCCAGGCGCAAAGCGGATCGAGAGTTGGTACGGCATGACGGGGAAGGCCACTCTACGCCCCAAGGACGACGAGAGCCCCGGATAGGCACCTCGAGGCCATGAGGCGGCCTGAAAAAGACTCCCGAATTTCGCGATCTCTCAAATTTCGCGCGCCAGGACATGACGCGGTTCCCGCGATTAGCGGAACCGCGGAGCCACGCGCCAATCAGACGCGATAAGGCCCCTCGCGGGGATAACGAGCCCTGCGTGCGCTCGGAAGGATTAGAGCCCGGCATTTGAGCTGTAGCCCGCTTGGCGAGGGCACGCGAGAGGACGCAGGACGTCAACGAATCGAGAACCTTCCAAGGTCGACTAGGACGAGCATCTGCGAGGGAGTCAAGCGGTGAGACAAGCGTCACTGTAAAGTCGCCGCGTCCGGGAGGCGTAGCTTTATTGGATTTCTATCGGGCGTATAATAGAGAGTGCACGTGGCATTACCACGTATCAGAGTTTCGCGGGATTCAAGTACGCGTGTCGCCTCCCGAATGCCCTTATCGTCGGGATAATTTTAAGACGTCCGCAAGCCACAGCCTCATCATTCGTTGTTTCTTTTTATCGCGGATCATATGTTGCGTCGAAGTTCCGTGCCGTAATATTGTCGTGTATCGTGTCGTCTCGAGCGTTTGTAGCATAAGATTTGCATGTTTATTCGGTCTTCTGTGTCATAGCCATTAACGACAATCTATAATAGCAATTGATAATTGTGCGTATTCTGTCGTATCGAGATTGCGTAGTGTCGAGTTTGCACGTATTTGAGTCTTCTCTGCATCTCAGCTGAGCGGCGCGAGGCCCCGCAAGCGCGCAGGTCACACCGTGTCCACGCTACAATCGTTGCCGAATTCCTTAGTATTTGCGAGGCGATGAAGTATGATTCGTATAATTCGCGAGAGTACTCCTGTGTGGTGTGAGCTCGTGTTGCGGGAATTTAACGAAGTTGATACGCCTAGCGTAAAACCTCGGGGCCTATGTAAATCAGTTATCGCGCTCAAGTAGAGCTTATCGTCTCGATTGTATCGCCAGATGTAAATGTGAGTCGAAGATTCATTTAATATATTTGTTACTTTTGTTATTGTTAATTCGTGTGTACTTTATCCTCGTCCCTATTCGCTCCTCCAAACGATCTGCTATCCTCGACCGCGAACTGCCCTCTCTGCCATTTCCGAGGTTGAGCTACCGGTTGAGAGCCTGTCGACATTCGCAGCTCCTTAAAAATGGCATAAAGAAAATATCGCGTAATTTCTAGAAAGAGTGACACGCTCGCTCGTGCCTGGCGCTCAACTATTGTTTTGTGATTATATGCCGCCCTTAAGAGCGGCCGCGGGAAGACGCATTTCTGTCACGTTTCTTTTAACGCCACCCGTCATCCGATCGCCTACGAGAACCTTAGCTGTGAATGTGCGACGAAGTTGCGTCACGCTCGTACGGTTGCAATATAAATAGTGGTAAAATATTCGATATGACTAATAATAACAATGTTACGACAAATTTCTATCTGTGTATAGGATGTATAATACTTGAGATTCGTTATAATTTCGTTATAATTTTTTTGCTGTAAAACAGGTATCGATTCTATTCTTTTATATTCCGATTAGAAAATATTAATGATATACAAATTGATTTTAAATTAGAATCTGGAAATTCTCGTTCTACACTTTTCGTGATAAGACTTTGGGTGTTTTAACATTATTGTACGAAGCATATTCTCATAGAAATGAACACGTTTATACAATCACAACATAGGACGGTTTAATGCCAACTAGATGTAACTCTGTGTCTTAAGAATATTATGAATTTACTGAAGATGGCCAGATTGTGGCCGAAACGTTTAACGTTTTAATTGATGTAATAATAATTAAATATCACAATCTACAACTTGTGCTGTGGTTTCTTATGCTCTTCTTTTTATACTTGTTAAATTTATAACCACGTTTGTTTTTATTTAAAATTTATTTTTCAAGGTCAACGTTTCGAATTTACATGTTTACCTTTTTGGACTAAATGTAGGCCCTCATGTCTTCATGAAGATCATGAGATTAGTAATGAGTTATCTGCGTGATAAAATTTCACTTCTATAATTTATCTGGATGATGTACTTATTATTTTTCATCGCGACAGACATGTGTAAAAAACATAAAAATTTTCTATTAATTTTCTAGAATCTGTAGGTATTTTTCAATTTTATATATGAGGTCATCAACCAGACGCTTCCTCGCTTCACATCACTGCCAAATTTCCTTTGTAATCTTATATAAGTTTGGACGCACGCCTCCCATTCTATTTATGTATGCTACCGCTGTAGTGTTATCAATACGCATAAGAATCTCGCAATCCCTGAAATCTTTAGCAAAACTTTTTGATGGAAAAAGAGTTCCAAACGTTATGCCATTTTTTGATATAAAAAACTTTACTCGTTGACTAGACTTTAAGATACTCTTATTATAAATTATAAAAGTCTAGTCAACGAGTAAAGTTTTTAGGAATCATGTACGATTCCAGAAAAATGGTGCTAGAATTATCAGAGAATAAGAAGCAAAAAATGATAGATCTTCTAGAACAGTGTACCGGGGAAAATTTTCTCTCTTAGACAATGGTTTAATTTGACCGGATCAATCAACGCTTGTTGTGAAGCATTAAGATATGGGCGTTTATATATTAAAGAATTTGTCAGGTATTTAGGATTATTAAAAAACATTGACTTTGATGCAAAAATTCGTCTCCCAGAAAGTCTCATGCCAGACATAAATTAGTGGAAACTAAATATTCCCACATCTTCGAATCCTATTAGACATGAAAATTATAAATGTGAAATCTTCTCAGATGCATCCACCACGAGATGGAGCGCCTTCTGTGAAGAAAAAACTGCTCGTAGTTTTTGGAGGAAAAAAAATGGCATATTAATTGTTTGGAACTAAAAGCAATTCTTTTTGCATCAAAAAGTTTTGCTAAAGATTTCAGGAATTGCGAGATTCTTGTGCGTATTGATAATATAATACAGCGATAGCATACATAAATAGAATGGGAGGTGTGCGGCATCCAAAATCTTGCATAAGATTACAATACGGGTCACTTAATTCAATTAGATCAGTGATTTCTTTAATTAGTGGAAATAATTTAGGTAAAAACAAGAATATATCCAGGTTTTTTAAAAGGGTTTTCATGCTTAGATGTACAAAACCCAAGTACGACAGAGTCTGGAACGTCGATATAGCGCTTCGCGAAATCGAAAAATGATTTCCGATAAACGAATTGCTTATTGAATGTTTGACGGAGCGTCTGATATTACAAAGAAAATCTGGCAGTGGTATGAAGCGAGGAAGGTCTGATTGACGGCCTCATATATAAAATCGAAGAATAATGTTGAAGCAGACCGTGGAACCTCGAATAAGAAATATTGACACAGAATAGGAGCTGGCTGATAACGCTTTTAGAGCCGTGGAAATATTCGGATATCCGGAAGTTGATCTTTTCATCACTAGATGTAACTCAAAATGCGAAAAGTTCTTTTCTTGGGAAAGGGACTCAGAAGCGTTCGCAATCGATGTTTTCACCGTGAATTGGCAATCACTCGGTTTATTCTGGGCTTTTTCCGCCTTTTGCTCTTATTTTAAGGGTCTTAAAAAAGATAATGACAGATCGAGCTACAGGTATTGTGATAGTTCCTCACTGGCCAGCCATGGTTCCTTTGTTATCAAAGTTATTAACAGAGAAACCTTTGTTGTTTAAACCTTCTCCTACCTTAGTTCTATCTCCTTGCAGGTCTATACAACATCCGTTAGCAAAAAAGTTATCCCTGATGGTAGGAAAATTATCAAGGAACCTTTCAAAAAGAGAGGATTGCCCAGCTCATTCTTAAATATATTCGAAGCTTCTTAATGGAATCAACTCACAAACAATATGTAGGTCCTTTAAAATAATGATAGATTGTATTAGGATCAGAGACTAAATCCTTATCAACCCAAAGAAGTTGACGTTATAAAATTTCTAACAAAGAAATTTGAAGAAGGAATGACATACGGGTCACATAATTCAATTAGATCAGCGATTTCTTTAATTAGTGGGAATATTTAGGTAAAAACAAGAACATATCCAGATTTTTTAAAAGAGTTTTCACGCTCAGATCTACAAAACCCAAGTACGACAGAGTCTGGAACGTTGATATAGTGCTTCGCGAAATCGAAAAATGGTTTCCGATAGACGAATTGCCTATTGAACGTTTGACGGAGCGTCTGATATTACTGTTAGCGCTAGGTACTGCGCACAGAACGCAAACGTTAGCGGTGATTAAATTATTTAACGTTAATTCGAAGCGAGGGATACGAAATAGAGATACCAAAACATGTAAAAACTTCTCGACTAGGAGCTTATCAACCGTTATTACCAGAATTTCCAGAGAATCGAAAACTGCATCGTAACAACACTCGATGCATATATAAAAGCGATATCCAATGAGAGAGGGAAGATAATCTTTTCCTGACTACCAAAAAGCCTTTCAAAGCAGCAGCCTCTGCAACAATAAGTAAATGAGTTAGGACCGCTATGTCTCGCTGTGGCATAAGCGAAAAATTCACTGCTCATTCTACAAGACATGCGGCAGCACTGAAAAAAGATATTAGCCTAAAAGTTATTAAGAGAACGGCTAATTGGTCAGAAAGCTCACGAGTTTTCGCAAAGCATTACAACAAAACTATTGTTCAAATCAAAGATTCTTTTGTAAAAACGCTCCATATGTAACTCGACATAAAATTGGCTTGTTTTAATTTTTTTTCTTCGCTTGGCCAATAGAATATGATAGCCAACAGAGTGCAATGCATATTAAAAATTTATTTTATAAAAAACCTTTTATTTTAATTGCGATCGGCCAAAAGAATAAATATTTATAAAAAAAAATTTTATAAAAAAATCTTGTAAATTCTCATCGGTTTTTTCATGGGTTCCTATAGAAGATTATAAGAGGCTGCACACAATAAAAGGAATAGCGAACAGGAAACAGAGAATAAGAATTTTAACCTATCATATCAGAAACTGTGTATTCCACAATACATGATTTCTGGTAGGTTGAAATTCTTATTCTCTGTTCCCTATTCCTTTCATTGTGCGCTCCTAAGATTCTGTTGGGAGCTTGTATAATGTAAACAATTGATGACACAGAGAAACATATCAGGGCGCTTCTCGTTTCAAACTCAGGCCTGGTCTCTCCTTCGAGTTGGTAAATTTCCGTCCTGCCACTGAGCAACACCGACGCTGATAGCTTCTCTGTTGTGTCTATTTCCTCTAAATTTCTTACAATAGGTATTTATAGGATTTACCCAGCATGTATATATAGGTTAACATACGAAATTTTTCTACAAGATTTTTACATAGGAATCTATGACATCAGTCCATGAAAAGAGGCCCTATAGGATCGCATGGGAAAAAGAATGACGTGCACGTTGATGCAATCGGACCTAAATAGTAAACAGGGTGTCTCGTATTTGGAACTATTTTCGTGTCCAGATAAAGTAGACTAAACTGAGTCGAAATGTCCTGTATCATTTTGCAATTTTCAAAATAGTTAGTTTCTAAAAATTGCCGAATAGCGGATAAAATCGATAAGATAAATTTAAGATATTTTTCAGAGTTCTTTATGACATATTTTAAAGATGTTTTTTCAAAGAACTCATAAAGATATCTTAAAGTTGTCTTATGCGTCAATTTTAGACATTCTACTCATTGAGTAATAATTGTAAAAATTGCAAAATGATAGAGGACCTTCCGATTCAGTTTAATCCGCTCTATCTGTACACAAAAATAGTTCCAAATATTTTGAGATATCCTGTATAGTCCCTATAATATATATATTAGAATGTGTACACAAAATGCTATAACAGCCGACTGATGTAATTTCACGTGAAAATCTAAGATTTAAATAAAAATCTAATTTTTCCATAACTCTAAAAATTGAAGATCGCGTGATAAACAAGGTGTGTTTGGTGACTCAAAAAAGTCACGAATATCTTTTCTTTATGGTAATGAGGATTTTTTTTCACCCGATGTGGAACATACCTCGTTTATTAACTATTATTGTGGATTCCAGTTTTTGGGAGTTACGAATTATTCTCTCAAGTTGATATACCCATGGGAATGCGGAAGAGATGCTTCATGGGAACTAAAGACCTATAGGATATTACACTTGACGTAGGAACATGTAGATTTACATAGGAGTTAGGATAAAGGAAATATACAGAAGTCATCTTATGGTAGCATATAAATGTCTATAGGCATTTTCAATCCCCATGGGGCACCTCTCCTTTGTCTTACGCATACATACATATTGCTATACGTCAAACTGGTATCCTATAGTTTTTTAGTATCTTTTAGTTTTCATGGGGCATTTGTCCATACTTCTGTGGGTATTTCTATTAGTCTATTTGCAATTCTCAGTATACATGCATACTGAGTAAATCCTATAGATAATTACACTCCTACAGAATTTATAGTCCTCTATAGGAACCCATGAAAAAACCCATGGGAATTTACAGCAGGATATGGCAGCCGTTTCAGGATCGCAAGCGATCTTGGTGCTTTTAGCGAAGAGAGTGTACGTTCGCGGTATCAGACGCGTCATTAGCAGTCACAGGCAATTCCAAAAAACAGGCGCCAGTGGATCTCAATTGGATTTAACGCAGACATGCATTGAAAAAAGCGGATGTAGGCGTAATATCTAGATTTTTCAGTGAGCGCATAAGCAAATGCATTCGGATTGGCATAAATAGAAAAGATAGCAATATGTAACTTAAACAAATCTTTTTGATATTTTTCTGATACTAGCGTAGAAACTCTTAATATTTCCATGCCTTCTGCATAATATAATGATATGACGAAGGATATCTAGAAATACAACACAACTTATTTACATTTCTTAAATTATTAGACGTAATTTCTTTAATTAACAAAACGCGGGTGCTCTGTTTGAAAAATAATATCATTGCATGCATTATGGCGAGTGTGGACGAGGAAAATTACATTATTTTTATTATAATTTTATGAATAAGCAGTTGGGTTCTCATTTGTCCATTTTCTTTAAAGGGTCTCAATATAACAATACGATGTGAGACAATTTATTACATCCTTTGTGGAACAGTGAAGACCAGAAATTGTAAGTAATACCAACTTTATTGATACATTTCAGACCACTGTGTTTGCAAGGAATACTAGAAGGTAACGCAATCTTATTAACTTATTAACAATCTTATTAATGAATCAACTTCAACATGCTGATTAAATGAAATATATATATATATAAAACTTTTAATATCAACATTATGATTCTAGGCTTCGAGTGGGGAACCATTATTCCAATAAATGGCGCGTGATATCGCGTGCGGGGAATAAACACGAAATGATTATTAAGATGATTATTAAGATGATTGTATTGTAAAATGACTTTCCTTAAGATTTTGAAACTTTTACTATTTGAAGATAATGATAATCTCTATACATACGTATCATTTTAAGGAGGAGAGGGGGTAAGGCATGTTCAAAAGATAATTGCATTTGAAGTTAGTACTTTTATGTGCTAGACAAGGAGTTCCCTGTGTTAGACAAGAAGTGACAGTTCCAATTATAGTGTAAAAACGGTATTTAGAAATTCACTTCAAAATTAAAGCACTATAGATAAATATAATACGAATTTCCTAAACCGAAAAAAATGGGAGGTCACGAAGCAAATATTAATTATGAAATCTTAGAAAGTTACTACTTCACTAATACCCTTATCATTCTCAAATATCGGCGCACAGTGGGGAAATAAAAGTTACTATTCAAAAATTGCGATCTGCAGCAATTTTTAAACTGTAATTTTTTTTTCCATAACGGCGCCCTCATGTACTGGCGCTTCGGATATTTGCCCCTTCTCCCTCGCCCCACACCGGCCGCCCCAAGCAATATTACAATACAACTACCTTAACTACATTTAGAACAAGATTATAAAAAATAATATTTCGGAATAAATATTTCTTATGCAATTCTATGCACGCGACCAAGTCGACGGGTATGAAAAACTCATTATTTTTAATAACACTTTCTGTATTAATATTGTCGCTTAATTCTTTTTTATAATTATTTTCTATCTCTACTCGACAGGTAAATACATCAATAGGCGCGAGCTTAGGACGCTGTAGCAATTCGATTTATATTTCTCGATGTGAGATTTCTTCTTCGGATGCACTGCACTCATTAATATTGAGGAATGATATAAGGAGTGCCATTCAGATGTGGTATTTCGCAATCGCGTTGTCCACGAGAGAGTAGACCAACAAATCAGAGTGAGCATTGGTAAAATTTTGAGAATCATTTGTAAAATAAAAATATTGTTTATCTTGGCTCATTATAAAACACTTTTTTAAGTTTATTGGTATGTTTTACTCTGTTGCAATTATTTCTGTTTGTTTCTGGTATCTGTTGTTGAATATCTCTGCACTGAAAAAAAATCATTTTTATTTTCATAAAAACATATCTTATTGTGTAATATCTTATTTTCAAAGAAATTTTCATTGATCCAAAGAAATAATTTTTTTTAATACGAGCAAAGAAATGTTTCTTTGAAATTAAGATTTTTTTTCAGTGTATAATTGAGTACAATCAACACATTCATTTTCAAATTTACGCGTTTTTGGTTCATTAATACATTATGTCGTAGCTGTATAAAGGCAGTTCTAATTCTGAGGAGGACGCGGGGCACGGAAGGTATTCGTTGGCGGGAGGGGGGAGGCGAGGGGGTACTCGTAAGCGCGGGAAAGGTCCCGGCGCTATCGCTGTTTACATAAACATAAACATAGGATTACAATAATCAATGGATTACATAAACATTCCGATGACATTCCGCTATGCCTTTCCTATTTCTTTCGTCACCCGCCGCCGCTACCCTTCGCAAAAATGCATCGGTAACAAAGGCTTGCCGCATACAAACACTTACCGCATATACTTACCATCTCTCTCCCTCTTATGTTTCGCCATCTTTCCCGCCGCGTTGTCGCTCCAGTTGTACCTTCTCGCACGCAAAAATATTTTATCATACGTTTTTTATTTAATGATTTAAATAGAACGCTTAATATGATGGTGTCTGTCGCAATACAGTTGAGCGCGAAGATGACTGACGGCGCGCGTCATATGAGCGCTGCGATAATAAGAAAGGAATGAATAATGTCACCCAGATATATAGTTTAAATATGCGTTTATTTTTATATATAACGTAATTTTACAATATATAGTTCTTATTATATAGTTCTTACAATATTTATAAGCAGAAACTTTAATTTAATTTAATTTAATTAATTTCAAATCGATTTTTTTAAGCACCTGCTTCCAATTAGCAATAAAATGTATATTTACTTTTCACACTGTTTACAATATTATCCAAAGCATAAACTATTAACACTCTATATTTGATTTTTTATTATAAATTTTGCGCAAAAAATCTGTAGCATCACATTTATCGATGATACAATTTTCACCTAAAAGTGTTATAAAATATTTACATTTTTCATTGACGATATGCATATAGCTGTGCCAGTATACGATATGTGTATATTGGCACAGCTCAGAGTATACGTTCTCGACGCAATGTTTAAGTTCGAACATGAAGAGCACGGTTGATGGCTTCATATATCAGACATGTTTCGCGCAGTGTTAATTTGATCACATTCACATCATGCCTTTTTATGATTTCTATCACTAGATCTTGGATCGATAATGATGAAGGTGCGAATTGATTGCACGAACCGCTCAATATCCGTGCGTCTTTCAATGAAAGCCTGCCACATTGCACGAGACAAGATTATGTTGTTACCTTGGTTGTTACTTCGGTCATCAATTACAATTTCCACAAAAGACACAGATCACACGACGATTCCGACATCCAGGTATTTGTAAGCTGTAGGAGTCAGTGTAAATTCTTCCCAATATACGAGGTGTATGACGAGGTTTATTACAAGAAGATATTCTGCAGAAAAAAAAGTAATATATATATATATATATATAAAATAAAAAGAACAACTGACATCAAAAAGAATACTCCTACTGTCATAACTGATCATCGAATCAATTTTGATCATAATTTCAAATGGAATGATGTGAGAATTTTGGACTGCGAATCTTCTTACAAATAAGAGATTGGTGTCTGAAATGATTCATATTAAAAGACAGAAACAAGGCCTTAATAGACAAAATGATATCGAATCTTTACCCGATACTTATTCACAGATCATTCAATCTCTTTCTCCTTCTTGACTGCTTTCCCTTCCCTATCCTTCTCTTCTCTCCCTACTTTCTCTCCCTTCCACTTTATTCTTTCCTTCTTATTATTTTTTTCCCCCTTCCCTTTCTAGTTTTCCATTTCAACCTTCTTGTCTTTATATGTCGTTTATATCTTAGCTTCTTAGAGAGACGATCGATTTCGATTCCAATTGCATTGCCTAATCGATAATACATCATTTCGACACACACATAAGGTATTTATTATAAATTTATTTGTTCTAAACTCATTATACATATACAATGCATGTCGGCAATTTACTCTTTTTTTCTTATGCGCTTGTCTTATAATATCAAAGTCTTATAATATCAATTTTTGCCTCTTTCTTTTAATTTTGATTTATTATTTACGATTTATTTTGTACTTTTCTTTTTATTGTTTGCGACTCGATTTGTACTTTTCTTAATATTTTTATTTACTTTTATCGTTAATTTATTATTACAATTTATACTTGCTAACAGAAACATGTTCGTCCTTATACACATACACGGTTCGGAGGAGCACATTTTTGTCAACTATAATCGTTTGTTTGATTTCCTCTCAATTTGGAGCGAGTTTTATAGTTAATTTTGCGTCCGAATGCGAATTTTACTTAATTCCTTATGTTTTTATCTACGTTATAACTCTATTGTTAATTACCGTTGTTAATTTATTTGTCACACTAATTTATTTGTCACATTGAAAATGATCCAAGTAGGATCGAAACGTTTGTTTTCACCTTCTGATTGTCAAATTATATTTTACGTTTTTAATTTTATGACATAGTTTTATTTCAATTTTTTTAACTATTTATACAGTTTGTCAATTTATGTTTTAGGCTCGTAGCCCTTTTTCCTTTTTACTTATTTTAATATATATATATATATATATATATATATATATATATATATATATATATATATATATATATATATATATATATATATAT